TCGTGCCATTACACAATCCTGATGACTGGTCTATATTTCTCAGCAACATCATAGGAACACCAACCTTCAAAGTAATAGAGTGATTTGGAATTCCAGAATATTTAATACTGTTTAGGAATTCGGGTGTATGTACGTGCTCCAAAGCTGAAAAAGAATGATCAGATATACAGACTGTATCAGAACTCAAATATGTCTTCGCAGGACTATGATTGAGTGAAACCATATATTCATTGATCGACTCCACCATATCAAGAGTCGAAGCAAGAATTGCTCTTTGTTGAAGGTAATCAATGTCACTGGAATGATTAAAGAAATCTGGATATGTACTTTCAACAATTGCCGATATTGGATCATCACAATTATTTATGAGAAGATCACCTGGGATTTGGACTTTCTCAATGCCATCAATGGAACTCCCAATCCTTCCATCACCGATTGCTAAAATCCATTTAGAATTTTTTTAACTCATCCAAATGTGCATCTAACTGATCTCTTTGTAACCTCATATTCTTTGTTAGATTTAAGACTTCACAGTGGGCCTTCAAATACGAAGAATTAAGAGTAGTGTTAACAATATCTTGCCTAGATCCTTTTGCAATGACAGACAAAATTTGTCTGAAGTCGCCACCAAGAACAACTGTTTTACCTCCAAAAGGTTTATCAGCACTGGATGTGTCTTTAAATCTAAGAATATACTCTAAGAGTTTGATCAAGAGCTTCAAAACATATTATGCATCATTGGTGCCTCATCCCAAATAATCAACTTTGTCTTTATAATCAAATTTGCTAGAGGACTACCTTGCTTTATATTGCATGTTGAATCTTCAGTTGGATTAAGAGGGATTGCAAATCTCGAATGAGCTGTTCTACCACCTGGTAACAAAAGAGATGCAATTCCACTAGATGCAACAGTTAACACGATGTCTCCTCTAGATCGTATGCCAGAAGACAGAGTCTTCCAAATAAAAGTCTTTCCAGTTCCTCCATAACCATCAAAAAGAAGAATCCACCTTTGGCTTCATTCACTGCCCTCATAATTTGTCATAAACCGACTTTTGTTCAACTGTCAAATTCATTAATAATTGTTGATGTTCCTCTAACAGAGAACGACGATTATAATGCAATTCATCATGGATTGACCTATTGCTGTGTTCAACTTCTTCCTCATTGTAAAGTAAGTTGAAATATATGCCTCGATTCTCCAGGCGGGATCCTGACTGCTAAAACTTGAAATAAATGCCTCTGTTCTCCAGGCGGGCTCCTGATTGCTAAAACTTGAAATAAATGCCTCTGTTCTCCAGGCGGGCTCCTGATTGCTAAAACTTGAAATAA